ACTGATACCAAAAAGAGTGGACACAGGTATCACATTGATATCCGTTTTGATGGTTTCAGAACTACTGCCCATTTGCCATTCATTTCTCCATGCATGGGAAAGGTGCTAAGTCTGTCACTCAACGCACTCAATCTGCACTGTAAGAGTCATGTACGTGAATGTGGCTTTGCATGACTGGAGCATCCTTTCCTTCAGTGCAAATGCAATATAGGTAGAGCAGATTGTTGAAATTCATGGAAAGAAGAAGCCCACTTTTCGTGACAGACAATCAGAGTAGAGCACCTGCTACTTGTTGCATTTGTAGTACCGATAGCAACGTCAAAATATCTGTTAACAATGAAGAAGCAGCCAGAAGAGCCGCTCACGTCGACCAAGGGAGTATCGTAGATCCGTAGAAGCAAGTTATCGCCCCGGTAGATCGAAACTCCGAATACAGTAATAGGCACCTGTTTCAGGCGTCATTCCGTGGAAGAGGAGGTGTCATGGATGCACCGTCATCGTGAGCCATTGTCCAGGAGCAAAGAAGAGGCTTATCGATCCGTCGAACGGAAGAAGACGCTTCATCGGCTCGCTGCCGCTGTTTCCAGCATATCCAACAAGAGGAGCCAGTCATGGTGAAGTGGTAGTACGGTAGCCATGAAAGGGGGGCAGCCGATGCAAAGAGGACGTAATATATATCATCTTGGTAGAGTGAAGGTAGACTATCGATTGAAATAGTTCTGCAGAAGTGATCGGGTGGCTCGGACGGATCTGGTTGAACTCGGATCCTGGATTCAGGACGGCACCGTCATTGTAGCGTAGCTGGCTCATAACTCGGTACCGGTAGGGTTGAGGCTGCCGTAGATTTGGCCTCGAAAGCATAATTTTACGTAATTTTGGTGTTATGCATTGTTTTGGACGAGGATTACAGACTAGCTAGTAGCTAGCTAGCAAGCAAGTCTACAGACAGCTTTTATGGTAGGTGGAAAAGCAGTACTTTTGTGTTGAGTTACTTGTGTTGAGTTGGCAATTGGGGAGGCTTGGAATCCCTGAAATGGGTATATGTGAGTGGTTGCCCTTGGTGCTGCCGTAAGGTAATGGACATACCGGTACCAAGCCCAATAATTGGAAGCTTGTCAACACAGACACACCACATCATTGAAGTTGAATCAGTTCTCATGAAATCAAGCAATCGCTGCTGCTATTGTACCGGTACCAGGAGCTTTTAAAATCCAGAGAGCATGGACCAGTAGCTAGCTAGCTATTGATGGGAGAGGAGCTGGAGAGGTTACCTTTGAATTGTGAATTCATTGGTGGGCGATGAGCTCCTTGGGCTCGAGAGGATGTATAGGTTGCCACTGCTGACACTCCATTGCTGCCTGATTTGACGCGAGCAAAATAGCCAGCAACATAATCAATTCAATGCAGTCTGGGTGCACCAGTTAGTACAGTACTCCGACTGATGCCTTGCTAGTAGAAGGGTGAGGATATTACAATCAACTTGGCTGGCTGGTTGCTACTTTTACCTCCCTCAATGACAAGATACACTCATTGTGCTATCGTACCGGTACCGGGAGCCTAACCAAGAGTGCATGTACCAGGATGGGAGAGGAGCTGGAGAGGTCACCCTTGGAAAACCTGACAAAACCCAGTAATGGCGAGACGCACAAGGCGGAATTGTTTTATTTTGCGAAAGGATCAAGGCGATTGAGGACTCGGTATGGCCAGGATCAAGATGAACGTACCTTTCTTACAACATGAAGGATCCTCAAGGCGGCCACTCTGTACCGGTACCGGTACCGTGCCGCCTCGTGCCTTGTCAATTATCGGACGAGGGTGCTTGTCCCCCCAAGGATTCATCCAGTATTTTCATCAGTTCGGTCCATTCCTATCCGGGCATCGTTCATTGACGGTATGCCTGGCTCTCAACACTCTGCAGCAAAGAAAGACTATGGTTTTCCTAGCGCAGAGTAGTGTAGTCTACTAGCTTCTATTCGTGTCCTAGAGCAGGCGAGACTATGAAATAATGGAAATTCCTACAAATACTGTCTTCCTAGTAGCAATGCAATGCCAGTTTCCTCAGAGGGGGCGCCCCTGCACCGGTACAATACACGCTTTGCCGTGTCATTTGGAGTCTTTTCCTCCATTCTAGCGCTAGCTCTCGCTCTCGCTCAGCATCGCAAGGCAGCTGAACAAGGAATCATCAAACAAATCAGTTGTTGCCTTGTGCTTGCACAAACTCAAATGGGAACAATTGCAAAGGACACCCATTTTCGTAGGCCCACTGCATGATTGGAGGGGGGGTAGAAGTATTGAAGGGAAGGACCTGCCAATCCCAGGGCTGCTCCCTTCGAGAATAGAGTCACTGCAGGATGTGCAATTTTTTTGTGACGGAGAGCCTTTCTCATGCAACGAACCCAATTACAGTCACACCCATTTTCATAGGCATATTGTAGTGCTTCCAAATGGCCATTTCTAGCAGCACGGTGGCAAGCGCGTGCACCCCATGGACAACCTTGTTCATGGGCATACTGCAGGGTATGCATCTGCCCTTCCCCAGCAGCCTCAGTGCAAGTATCTGCATCCCATGGACAACCTTTCTCATGGACATATTGTAGGATGTCCAGATGGCCATTTGCAGCAGCAGCGTTGCAGGTGGCTTCATCCCATGGACAACCTTTCTCATGGGCATACTGTAGGATGTGATGGCTGATGATCAATTGCAAATAATAAATGTGTGGCAAGTTGATGATCAATTGCAATCAATAAATGTGTGGCAACAGAGGTTGCTGTTTGCTGTACTAGCTAGTAGTGGTCGAACAGATCTTGTCCGAGTACCATCGGTTGGATGGAGCTGCCAAGCTGCCAAGCTGCCAATGACAAAGGATTATCAAAGATTTAAAGCCAATTGGAAGCATTGCTATAGTGGTGGTACTTTGAGAGGAGGAATTTATTTAAAGTATGGTATGACATTAGTTACGGTTAACCTTCTAATAATTTTTGCTGAGTTGCGGTAAATTAATGTACAGTATGTACCCTACTGAGACGCTGGGCAAATCAATCTCCAGCCGAATTGTGAGGGGAGACGGTTTTGGAGATTATCAAAATTTAGGAGATCAAAATTTCAAATTAGGAGACCCTTTTGGAGGTAATCAAAATTTAGGAGACCGTTTTGGAGACCAAAGTCAAAATTAGGAGATTTGTTAGTTGAAATAGGAGATTGAATAGGAGATCAAAACTCAAATTAGGATACTGTTTAGGAGATTGTCAAAATTTTGGTACTGTAATTTGAAATTAGGAGACCATTTTGGAAATTATCAAACTTTAGGATACTGTTCCTCACATTTTACCTTTTTGCCGCATCGTCCAGAGAGCACCAACGCCAGAGAGGGTGGTCTTGGAAGGTTAACAGCTGGATTGGTATTAGTTAGAGTCAACAGTTTGATTTGAGCTATGTAGCCAGCTGGTTCCTCTTACTCAAATTGCTTCATTATTTCTCCAGAAAAGAAGACTTATTTTTTGAGGTTGGTTGGAGGTCACAACCGGGACCATGGGATTCATTCCTTGACGGGATAGTACTGTACATTTTGTGTTGCTCGACTCTTATCACCTAGCCAGTGGGGCTACTGAGTGTGATATTCTGTATGACCACTGAGAACACCTCATTCACAAAATCTATTATCCTGTCTATTATCCCACCATGAAAATCAATCGCCAAATCTGTTGCTGCTGCTACCCAGGCTACCGGTACTGTCAACCATGCTACCCATGCTACCCAACCTTCAGTGGCTCCATTCGTCCCCATGAAATCAGTGAAGCCTGTGAACCCCTGTGCTCTTCTATCAAATGTCCCGGTTGCCAATGTGAAAGAGGTTCTTGAAACGCTGAACACTCCTTCTTCGAACCAACATCACCACCATCCCTATTATGTCAGGCTCCACAACAAAGAGGAGAAGATTAGGGAACTACCAACTTTGGAAGAGGCAACCAACAACAAAGCTTATGATTGGTTCACAGAGTCAAAGGAACCAACATCCAAGAGAGGCAAACATACCACCACAACCTTGACCTTTGTTCATGCTGGTGATTTGCATACAGAACCACCCAGCCTTCCACCTAGGTCCAACCCACTACATGTGAAGAATCCAAAGCATCTAGAGCCATTCACTGGTACTGAGGGATGTCATCGCCAACTTGTCTGTACACTGGTTCCTAGGAGTTTTCTTCAACAAACCTATGGTAAGCAAGTCAAACTCCCAATAATTGGAAGCTTGTCAACTCAGTCAAAATGGACAAACTCTAGCTAGCTAGCATTGACTAAGGTGTGGCGTCGTAGACTACAAAGTAGATTCTGGTGTCAAATGATGACCGGAAGCCAGCTGACCCGTAGAGTATTGTGGCTGGTCGGGAATCAGTTCCGTGCCCGCGTGACCAATCGATAGCCGACAGTCGCATCTAAACGTGTGGTGTGTGGGGATTGAGATGCATCCAGGAATATGTTGCCACCGACCTGCTTCGTGGACCAGAGGATTTCCCGATCAACGACGAGTTTGAGCGGTTGTATCCCTCGGTGGGTTCGATTCAGTTTTTTCTTGCCTCGTGCCTTGTCAATTATCGGACGAGTGTGCTTGTCCCCCCAAAGATTCATTGAGTATTAATTTCATCACTTCGGTAGCGCGCGAGAATCTCGCAAGACTCTGGTTGGATCGTCGATACGAAGAACGTTTGCATTTGTCGGGTTCCAGACAGATTGTCCGAACAAGAAAGTTCCACTGGAGGTGCTCTCGCGTGAATGGATTCCTTTTGCTTTGGCAAGGCCATCCTTGGGAACAATGGAATGTACATGTATGGGATGGGCATCAGGACGCCGGCAATTTGCAAAAGTTTCGCGCTTGGGCCGTCCACAGGGCCAATATGGAAATGGCGAATCAATCGTTTCCATTTGTTGTTCCGGGGAATGTCCTCTTTTGATGGAATTCCAATCAACCCTCGCTGCTCTCGTGGTTGCGTACTAGTATTGCTCATGGATCCCCGTCGTCTTGTCGTCGTTTGGTTCGTCGTTGTCTTGTTCGTTGTTGAACGGCTTCCTCCGATCTTCCAGGCAATTCTTGAAAATGATTGTGTTTCAACGACGCGTGCTTGAGATTGGTCTTTTGTAATATTGTCTTGGTCGATTGCAAATTGAAGGGAATCGTCCCCGTCATTGCATTGTTGTGGAGGTACAGTGTCTGCAAATTGGGAAACATGCCTCGACTCCACCAATGATCCCCGTCAGGTAATGTCCCCCAGAGTTGATTGTCACTCAAATCAATCAGGACCAAATCACGGGCCAATCCATTCCAAAATTCTTCCGGGATGGTTCCCTGCAGTTGATTTTTGGTCAAATTGACCTGAGTCACGACTTCTTCCACTTGCTGCGGTCCGACTTGGTAATGCGCACAAGCGACCCCGTACCAATCGCAGACATGAACCCCACCATCATTCATGGATGTCATCCAATGGGTCTCCACTTTCCAGAGACTTCCGGTGGTATGGGTGGCAAAAAAGAGACACGCCAAGGAAAAGCGTGAAATAATGTCCTGATCGGATTGTTGCCAAGTATGCGTCGAAACATCAATGAGCCAATCCAAGGCGGCCGATGCTGGACTAAATGGATCCTGTAATCGATCGGTGGTGGTGATGGATTTAGCGAGCAAGAGGCTGGTAAAGGATCGTTTGAGTTGGGATTGGGAATTGCGGAGACGAGAGTTGGCTTTGGATGTGGGTCGTTTGACGGATGAAGCGTCCTCTGGTGGTTGCTCGGTAGTGCTGGGATCGTTTGCCAAAATGGTTGTTGTGGTGTCGGTATGATCCCTGGACAGTACAATCGAGACTGCAAAGCCCGCAATGCCCAAGAGTATGCAGACACCTAAAAGGCGGTACAAAACTCGTCTCTTGTGAATGGACGAAGAAGTGTATTTTTGGGTGCAATAGTGTTGTGCCCAGTGCTGATTGTAGGATAGTGTCAAGTTGTGGCCATGATCCGAGGACGAGTGCATTGTTGGTTTCTTTTCTTTCATGCTGTTGTGATTGTGACTGTTGTGATTGGTTATTGTCGGAAGGGAAGCTCTCTTGGTATTGTGAGTCAAGACAGGAGAGGAGGAGGGAATCTTGGATAGGCTGCTATTATTATTGTTGAGAGGTGGGAGGGCACGTCTCCAACTGTGATGTGGAACGGGAGACGCTTTTTCTTTTTCCTTGTCGGATGTCTTTGCAAAAGTGGAGTTTGTAGCAGAGGGTGGAGACTCTGCTGAAGAGGAAGATGGCCCCAATGTCTTGTTGAAGGAAGAGGCGCCATAACTGCGACTTCTTCGAAGCAAACTAGAGCGCCGTCTTGCTCCAGTAGATGAGCCATGACCAGGTGAAGTGGTTGTTTTTGTTGTGACTTCCATTTGGTGGTACGAGCGAACCGACTTTAGTTTTACTGGCTGATGGTGGTTCTGAATTTGCTGCTGCTGTGTTGGTGGAGTTTGCCGATTCAGCTTCAAGGAAGATGCTCGCAAGGAGTGGACATCTCTACCACCAGAAGGAGCTGATCGGCAAGCCACGTATCCATTTCTCACGGGAGGCGGTCCATCATGGACAAGCATTTGGCTCATCTTATTGATGTCTCCTTTCTCCCCCTCTTTCTCGGCAGCCCCTTGTCTATTGTGCTAGCTAGCTAGATTGGTGGTGCTTGCAATACCGAACTGTTCAATACAGATACTAGTAGTTGTCTCTGGCCTTTTAAGGAAACGCTACAGATTGAAGGCCATGGTGATGGTCGGACCTTTCTCACACAAGAAATCCCAAGGAAGTTGAAACTTGAGATGACCGTCTCATGTCACCGTTAAACCGGCATAGCTGAATGAGTATCCTTTTACATTACCACGGATTGGATGTTTTAGTCTTGCTGCGGCTAACCGTTAACGGCTCCTTTTGGAAACTGTGACGCAGTTCTTTTCTTTGTATGGGAACTCTGATTCTCTCTTTGGATTTGATTGGCTGGAGAATTCTTTTCTTTTGTGTTGAGCTGAAAACTTCCTTCCAAGAAATCGAATCCCAAAGAAAGTCAACGACCGCCAAAGCGAGCTGCCAAAGCCAGAGCATTGCCATCATCATTGCCATCATCATTGCCATCATCATTGCCAGCATTTATTTGCTTGCTAGCTAGCTTTGCCTTTGCGTCTTTGTGACAATGGACTTTGAGGAAGTTGACGAAATGGAGACAGAGGAGGAAGACATGGACACCACAAAGGTTGGCGACCGTCCCTTCAACACAAAAGAGATAGTCAACAACTACATCATCAGCTGCATTCCACTGGACGCCGTCAAGTTCACCAATGATGCTGCCTACGACTACATTGTCCTGTGCCTTGACCAAGATTTCTCGTCAAAAGACTTCAATGGGAGCGTCCTCCCTGAATATGGTCTGAAAAGCTACCGGTCGGTCAAGCAGCGACACATGAAGATGACCCCTAATGATCAGAGCAAATTCGATCAACAGTTGCTAGCGGCATTGGAGGACCATGCGGACAACCCTGATCGCCAACAACTCCAAGATGTGGTCGATCAGTGCCGATGTGATTTGTTCTATGCGCAAGAGAAGCCACGGAACGGAGGTGTTCCCAAATCCTGGCCAATTCCCAAGCCATTGGCGGATTTGTACCATATGGTTGTGGAAATCCAAGAAGTCTGCGGCTTCGGGACCCGAGATGAGTTGATGAATTTTGTTGGCTCGAACTTCTATTTCAACCGGAAGCTGCTGAATAAAATTCCCTTCCTTCGTGGGGATCCTGGCGAAAATGCGCCACTCCCAGCTTTGGCGCTCGTACCAGCCTCACAACATGGGGGCTCATTGGTCCCTCACCAACAACCACCGGCAGCAGCATATGGAGGCTCCTTGGTTGCTCACCAACCAGCAACATTGGGGCCCGGGACCTTTGCAGGGCTTTCAGCCCTGACAAACTTGAATCTCACCATCCATAATGATACAATCAACCACAATGCTGCCCCGGCGGCGTCTGGATCAGGAGCAGGAATCGACAGCAGTTCGGCCAATGCCTTCATGGAAAAACAGCTCGCCTTCAATGAAAGACTGGAAGCCAAACTGGATGCCAACAATGCCAAAACGCTCAAGGAATTAGAGCAGATCGCAGTCAACACTACTGGCAAGAAGGCGGAACGACCTCGTCAGGTGGCAGAGAACATCTTGCATGCGGCCAAGACCAACCGTCGTAATCTTGAAGGCGATTTCCTCGAGGCTCAGAAGGAGAACGAGGCTCAGAAGGAGAACACTGGCCGCCGCCCGGTGGTACAGTTCGAGGAGGACACCAAGGTAGCTGGTACCCCCAAGAAGGCGGCAAGCGCCACACCAGCAATGGCTGTCCCCAACACCCCAAAGGTCCCCAACACCCCCAAGACGGTCACGGAGAACGACGGGGAGTTCAGCGAGGCGACCACGCCATCGGCCAAGGAGGTCCCAGATGTTGTGCCGGTCTTGTCGGGCTCGACGGAATCACCTTCTGGTGGTTCTGGCAGCAGTGGATCCTTCCACAGTGCAGCTGAGACCGTTTTTTTGCGTACTCCCAAGGAAGACGAATCGTCGGAAGGATCTGCGGCCGGTTCTCCAATTGCCTCCCCAGCAAAGAGCAAGGCGAAGACGCCTGCTGGCGGCCGCATTGCTGGGTTCTTTGGCAGCTTGTGGTCGGGCAAGAAGAAGGGATCGCCTCCTTCCGCTGCCATCGAATGTACGTTTCAAATGCATGTCTTCTTCTTCCTACTATGGCCTTTGATGTTTGTCTGACCTTGTCATTTGTTTTCTCCCCTCAACCACAGTCGATGGGTCTCCCTTGATTGGGAAGGGAAAGGTCCGAACTTCGGATGCTGCATCGGATATCACCAGCCCCACTGGTAAGAAGGATTGGTTCCTTTCACATGGATTGACTTGTTTCGTTGGCTGACAAACTTCTTTTTTTGTGCTTTCTTTTTGATGCAACTAGGTGCCCGTCGCACATCTGGCGCCTCGGAGCTGAGCTCCATTGTGGGCTCTCCACCAAAAGTGGACATTCTTGCATCAGGTAACAAATGTCACCTCTGGTTGTGTGTAGTTGGCTTGGTCTTGTTTGATTACTGACATGTTCTTTGATCATCTTTTATTATCTAGGTGGCCATCGCGATTCGGATGTGGGCTTGCCACCCAAAGTGGCTTCGAGTGGGACTCCTGCAATTGAGGAAAAGAAAAAGGGTAAGCCATGCCAGCTTTGATTGTGGATGTGTTGTTGCTTTGTTTGTTCTATTGACTGACACATTTCTCCCTTTACTCGTCAACTAGGGGACCACCGTGGCAATACATTGTTGGTCCCAGAGACTGGAGGCTTGTTCGCCTCCCCAAGTCAGCCCATGAAGGATCCTCTGGCTGCCCCGGAGGAAACGATGAAAGTCCAAGACAAGGGGCCCTTGCTGGAATTGCCGGAACCTGGTGTTGTGAGCAAGTTGATGAGTGGGACTCACACTGGCGATGCTATCGACTTCACCGCGATGGTGTCAGAGCTTGATGATTTTGTGGCGGTTCCTGGAAAGGACGAGGAGGAAGAAGTTGAGGAGGAAGAAGTTGTGAGCCACGCCAAGGATGACCCCTTGGAGCGCCCTCCTCCTCCGGGCGACTTTGTGCTGCAGCCACGCCACCAGAAAATTGGTGTAGGTGCCATTGTCATGATCACCTCACAGGACTTCAAAGGCAAGTATGGCTTGGTACTCGAAAAATCCCCTAGAGGATGGAGAGTCTGCGTGCTCAACAAGATCAACAAGGAGGACGGTCCGACTGGTTCTGGCTACTTTGAAAAGGGCGACGTTGAGACAAAGAAGAGTCCAAAAAGTTTGACGTTGCAATGGTTGCTCCAAGACATAATGCTTCGCAAGGATGAGCCCAACAATGAGTCTGATGATGAGCTCATGGACCCAGAACCGGAAGATGCAGGTTGTTTGCCACTGTCCACTCTCCGCTCCCGCCGCCTTTCCAAAAAGAATCTGGACAAGAAGAATAAGAATCCTCAGGAGTAGTTCCCCAGTGCTGCACTCCCTTCCTACAGAACAGGACGCAACCAAACCGAATAAACAAACTGAGGGCATGGGAGGGAAATGGGTATCGTAGAAATAAATGAATAAGAACAGATAAATGGAAACCCTAAGAACTGGTGCTTGTTATCTAGTCATCCTTCTCCTCTAGCTAGTAGGTAGCCCCATCTTCGCAGAGTTCATGGACATGTTGCTTCTTCATTATTTTAGCTCTACAGCTCCATGACATGTAGCCTACGGTATGGTTCATTTGAGTAGACCTCACACATCCTCCTGTGGATCACAGGACTTGACTTCGTACGACAGCAGCGACATTCCACAAAGACAATGCTGGTGCATTCAAAGCAGTCCACGAAGAGCTTGCTCAATGGCCAGCTTTGATATAGTGTCAATGCTTGTTCATTTTCCTTATGCGGCCACCCCCATTGGATACCATAAAGCCCAAGCAGACGGATCGATGTTGACCTCTTCTGCCGACGCAGTTAGTAGCAGTAGGGCGGTGGCTGTAGTTGTTGTCGGCTTGGTGGTAGTGGTAGGGTGTCATCTGATCGCTTCAGTGTTTGCATTGTTGAAAGACAAAAATGATGACCTGCTGCCTGAGGGTGCCCCACCGTAAGCTGATGTTCAAAGTTCAAACCACAGGTTCTGTTCAATACCTTCAATACCAATCAGTAAATCCCCAACACAGGAGACAGGAGACAGTCTCGACCTGCCCATTTGCCAAAAAAGAAGATCAGTACCGGTTGAAGGATGCGCGACGGCAATCGAAAGGACGACAGTTGTTGCTCAGACAGTTGTTGCTCAGACCGTGATGAGGTGGCTTCTTGTAGTAGGACCACTCAAGAGCTAACACTGTAGACTGTTGCCTCTTTTTCGATTCGTACCAGTACGAAAACAAAGCACATGTGTCTACCTCCTTGTCAGGTGATGAAGTGGAGTTCAGAGTGAGTTTGTTGCAGGAGCGAGGTGACTTCTTTGCCGAACCTGTGTCTTGGTACCGGTAGCAGGCCTACACTCCAAACCTGAAGGTAAGAAAAAGATAAGAATCTTTTGATGCTGGAATACCACAGCAGGCAACATGGGGAACTTACAGTGTGATGAAACCATCTCTCAAGATGATGATGATACACCTTCGAATCCAAGTAATCACATCTTGATAGAGCCAATCAGGAAATCGAATATTGCCATGGTCGAATCGAGACATTGTGGAAGCAGTAGAAGTCTTGTTGATGCCGTTGCGCAGCAGTCGAGTGGTTGCTGACGACAAGGGTGCTGCCGACGACAGCGGCGCTGCTCGCGAGCTGAGTGGTTGTCGACTGCTTGGCTATCGAGCCATGTATGTAAGTTTGTTTGTGTTGGATGAATGAATTACTGACAACATCATCATTGTGATGTTGTCAGAGCCAATCAAGAGATCGGATACTAATGCCTAGGTTGCTGCTGCTTCCCATGCCTCCAATTCTGTCCTCTTGGCTTCTTGTCTCTCTAAAGACGATTGTGGGAGCAAAGTCTTCTTGTTGTTGTTGTTGTTGGTTGGTGACGATGGCGCTGTGGAGTGGTTGATGACGACCACGGCCGTTCGTCAAGAGATGAGTGGTTGTGGACTGTCGACAACAATGATGATAACAACGATGGTCGTTGTTTGTGTTGTCGACAACAACAGATGAGTTGATGAGTCAGTTTGTGTGGTGGCGTCAGTTTGTTTCGCATCAAGCTCTTACTGTACATGTATTGTCGCGAATCAAGAGGCCATCATTAGATGATGTCCTACAGAGACTCGACTCAAAGATACCTCGTGAATGACGTCAGTGAAACGGCACGGATCCAAAAGTGAAAGCATGCGAACGCCAAGCAACTGCAAACACACATTTGTCATACAGTCACCACCATGATGAAAGCTTTGCGCCCTTCAAGCAAGCTGTTGCTAGAATAGAGTAGAGGTGCACCGAACCACCCTCTGTTAGAGTGGGAGACAGTAGAGAGGCGATGACATGCAGACCATTGCCGAACCATCTCCTTCTGGGAGTAATTTGTCGGATTGGTTGTATCTTGAGCACTGTCATTTGCTGGTCTGTCGAACTGTTGCCATCACACCAATCCTCTTGAGGCCTCCCTGCTCTCCACTGCCGACACCATTGTCTCTACCACCACCATTTTCTCTACCCACATGTCTCTATGGAGCGAAGAATGTGTGGTTTGATCATTTTAAAAAAAGGGTGGCGCCTCGGGCATGAGGCTACCACCAAAACACCATGTTCATCTCCAACTTGACCAAAAGCCCAAACATGCTACGGCAGTGATTATGCTGCAACCACCGCCAATTGGGTTTTGCCAAGACCCGTTGAAGTCATGCACCTGAACCGAAGAGTTGTACTTATACATTCATCTATAAGCTCTATGTAGCTATTAATACCATATATTATTGGTGAAGGGCCCGACTCCGAATGACATCTTTCGGTCATGATCTATCAACATGAATTGCATACATTGGGGTATGCTGACTCAGTTATTGATCCTTTCAAGGCACGAACGATTGCATAAAAGGACGGATCCAGTTTTCCTGCTTGTTGTACACTCTGCTCACTTGTATACCCGACACATTCAGTTGAGCAATGAACTTATCCCGTGAAGCAGATACTTGGCTTTCTTTCAAACTCCCAGTGCTGTCAATAAAGAGAGCAACCCGATCCACATTCCCGGCAGTGTACTCATTGAGGCCACAAAAGGATGCCCAATCTTGAGCCAAGGCGGAGTCTCCATCGTCACGAATCACATTGTAGTGAAAGGTGGTTCGGTTGTCTTGGGCAAAGGTGCCGGGCAAGTCTACCGTACCATAAATTTCTCGATTAGGAACCAAGAGGCAGAAGGGCCTGTTGGGGTAAGCTTTGCGGAAGGCTTGCCACATCAATTCCTACGGCCAAACTAAATGTGAGCATCCCATCGAAACCCTCGCGAAGAATCCACAGTCGAAACAGATTTGCTTACCTTCGTGCGGAAACTGCTGTCCTCGTCAATGACAGCAACACACGGTACAAGTGGGGGAAAGAGAGAGATCCATCTCCTACAAGTCGGATTGGACCTCGACTACAATTTTTCCGTGCACACCTATAAAATGAACGTCACGGCAGAGCACGACGGACTGATTGGACTGTTGCAAGTGGAACGGGATCTCGAACTAGAGGAGACGTCAGTGGCATTTCAAGTCATGGGCATTCACCGGAGCTTTCGGCTGACAATGGATGCAACCTTCAAGACGATGATGCAATCCATGCCCAGTTTCAACATGTCCATAACGGGCCAAACGATCAAAGTAGTAAATGGAGCCGTGAGGTGGGATTTGTCGGTGGATTTCGCCGATCCAGCATCCACCATCTGACGTCCAACCACACAGTCCAATATCGTCGCCAAGTTTTGGAGCGAACAGCAGCAACAGCTCACATGATTCCATGTGATGGAAGAAGAAGAAGCTATTCCCAGCTATCTGGATGCCTTTGTTGGTTTTGAACCAACCATTACAGCCTATCTGGAACAGTTGGAGGTTGTGGTGAAGCCCAACGTGGGATACTTCATCCGAGGCACAAAAAGGGACAACAGCAGTATTTCTCAACACCATAACGTCTGATGAGTTGAGGAGCTCTTGGAATCTGCGACAGGCCCCAACTATCAAGCCTCTCTGGATCCTGGAATGCAAAATGCCAACTGATATCAAAGCTGGAGTTTCTCAGAGGCGACCAGCTCCAGCAGATACTAGCCACCGTACGCAACTTATGCCAAAAAACAATCTGAAACACGACTTGATCCTGGAGGAGTTGGCAATGATATTCCTCAGTCTCCGCAAGGCAAAGGCAAATTGGCTATCACCTGTGTACAATGTTTCAGTGTACTCTGGCCTGTTGCCCCGACACGGAACGCGTTGTTTCGGTGAATGCATTGGCAAGACGATATTGTTGATATTCGATTGGCGATGGATCTTGTGTCAACAAGAACAAGGGTAATCGTATTGGATGTGATCCATTGAAGCACATTGTGATGTGTGGCTGTATTGACCCGGCGACGAGAGTTTGCTGCAGCGACGGTCAAAAGCATGTTGGGTCGGTTATTTGTCTATCACGGTGGAACGTTCTGTGATAATCAGCAGTGTGCTGTCTTTTTGTTTGGCAGATCGATTCTGGGCTGTGTATCAATCCCCGACGGAATGCTGCCGAGCTGCGTGAAAGTCGCTGCCTCGATGGCACTTGCAAAAAATGCTGTGACGAAAACAGATGCGAGATGTGTGGTAGCTGTTGCGCTGATCTGGCACGAAGTGCTGTATTGGAGCCTGCATTCCGGTAGACGAATGCTGCGGGGAAGGCTGCTGTGAGGGTCAGTGTCCTGACGGATCCTGCCGTGTCGATGGATGCTGTTCTGGCGATCTTTGTTGTGCCTCGGAGTGCGCCTGTCAGGACAAGATTTGTCACGAAGCCTTCGTGGGTCCACACATCACGACCTTTGATGATTACTCGTACTATGTGGGAGGCTTTGGGGACTATGTCTATGCAAGATCTCTAGACTCTGCCTTCGAAGTACAGGGAAGACTGGAGCCGGTTGGTGTTGGTGTCTCTGTCGTAACGGGTGTGGCTGTGTTGCCTGGTCCCGGCAGTGGAGTTGTTGAGATTTCATTTGTGGACTTCAAGCAAAGCACCGACGTCAGAGTTTTAGTCAGCGGGGACGCCGTCGACCCTGACAGTGGCTACGACAATAATGTCACCACAGTGATGAAACTTGATGCGAACAGCTTTGGCATTTTCAACAAGCAATCTGGCTCTGCAGTTTTTCTTGAGTACGGCGACTTCAGTGGGTTCAAGTTTCGCGTTCGAATACCGCCGAAAACCACGACTGTGGTTGGGCTTCTCGGGAAGCCCGATTGGGATGCTACGAATGAATGGATGGATGCTTTTGGTAACCAGCTACCACAGCCAATCGGAGGAGGGTACTCTAGTGATGCCCACATGTACGGTCAGGAGCACTGGTGTATACGGGACAATCGCGACTCTCTCTTTGCTTACGAAAGTGCAACGGGCTACGAAGCGTTTGGGGACTGCGATAAACCTCCAGGATCGTTTAACTTTACAGGTGCAGACGACAGCCTGGAATGTCTTTGCGATGGAAACTATGCTTGTCAGATGGACAGGATCCTATTCGGTATTGACGCGGCTCTGGAAACTCTGGACTTTCAAGCACGTGTATTCCAGCAGCGAGGGATATTGAGTTTTGCCCCCAACCAAATACCAGCCGCAACGCCGACGGTGGTAGTCGTGACTGTTGATTTGAGAGGAGAGGCCAACTCAACTCTCAGGACCGTATCCTCTTTTGTGCTTTACCAAATCAGCGTGGACAGCCGGGAGAATACAACAGGTGCGCTGGCAGAGCTACTTGACTTCGGATCGGGTGCCGACCTGGTTGAAGGAGACCACGTGTACTCCGGTGTAGTCATGGTGGATGCCAACAGCACGGTTGGTTTTCAGGCATTGCCAGTATTTGACGGCTCAGTCAGCACCGATTTGGCTTTACGAACCTTCGCAGCCATCCAGGTGGTGAAAGGTGTGGTTTCGCCAGAGATGAAGGACTGCAAAGCTAGCACCAATCAATGAATCAAGAGATCTTTCTTCTGCCTTGGTGGCCAGCTGGGATGCACAATGACCAACATCACCTGCGGATCGAACGTCTCTAGCTGTGACCCATTTGATGGTCAGTGCAGGCTGCAG